AGAGAGAGAGAGAGAGAGAGAGAGAGAGAGAGAGAGAGAGAGAGAGAGAGAGAGAGAGAGAGAGAGAGAGAGAGAGGCGCACAACCAAGATCTTATTGTTGATACTGTGACGTCATTTAAGTTACCAATCTCTTTGTGCGTTAGAATGACTGTATCTGTATTGTCAGGCGGCACGGGTTCGCATAGTCACAATAACAAAAAAAAAAACAAGCAAAGAAAAACTTGGAACATGTCCCTGGCCATTACCGCGAGAAGGTTGGCTACTGCGGGCCAATCAACTGGTGAAGCCACCGTTCTTTATGTAACAAATGCCCGCAGTAGTGAACTTTCCTCGCATCGTCCTTTGACGACCTCAACGGTCAAGCCAATGGTCAATTCGTCCTCATCATTAATGACAGTCTGCTCTTCTCTCGTTCTCGTCATGTCCCCGACTTTCACTTTTCCCTTAATGACGGATGACTCTAAGATTATCAACTGGGGAGACTTTGCTTCACCCTCTGTCATTATATCGTACATTTTCTGCCACCCCTTTGCTGACCTCTCACTGGTCAATGACAACAATGGTTCGCTTGCCACCTCTCTGCGGTGTTGTTCGTCTTTATTTTCCATCCTTGGACCGATAACCGGTTCCGTACCCACATATGAGCACTTCGCGCCGCCACCACACGTGTTACTTTTCTGTGACTCTATCATCCTCGCTCGACTTCTCTTACCTGCACCCTGTAATTCAGTGTTCTGTGTCGCTCCTTCCCGAACGCTGCGCAACGTCATAAGTTTCTGTTCCTGTTCACACGTGTCGGTCAAAATGGAATGACATAGACGATTTGTTATTTTTTTTAACAACTTCAAATCGTTTTTATAGGATACTTCGGGGGGTGGGGGGGGGGAAGAGAGAGAGAGAGAGAGGTTGGGTACTGCGTGCCAAAACTGAAACGACTATCACTGTTGACCACGTAAATGTCATGCAGTAGTGAACTTTTGGGGACATTTTCGTCTCGCATATGGTTTTCACCGCTTCATAAGCTTGGCCACATTTGACATGATATTTCTCAACAAATTACGGAAAGAAAGAGACGAATGTCCTCTCTTGTT